ATTACTCAGAGGTATACAACATCAGACATTACTAAGGAGGTATACAACATCAAACATTACTCAGCAGGTATACAACATCGGAAATTGCTCTAATACAACATCTGACATTACTCACAGGTATACAACATCAGATATTACTCAGCAGGTATACAACAACAGACATTACTCCAATACAACATCAGACTTTACTCCAATACAACATCTGACATTACTCACAGGTATACAACATCAGATATTACTCAGCAGGTATACAACATCAGACATTACTCCAATACAACATCAGACATTACTCCAATACAACATCAGACATTACTCAGCAGGTATACAACATCAGACATTACTCAGCAGGTATACAACATCAGACATTACTCCAATACAACATCAGACATTACTCCAATACAACATCAGACATTACTCAGCAGGTATACAACATCAGTATTACTCAGGAGGTATACAACATCAGACATTACTCAGCAGTTATACAACATCAGACATTACTTAGCAGGTATACAACATCAGACATTACTCAGGAGGTATACAACATCAGACAATACTCCAATACAACATCAGACATTACTCAGCAGGTATACAACATCAAACATTACTCAGCAGGTAAACAACATCAAATATTGCTCCAATACAACATCTGATATTAGTCACAGATATACAACATCAGATATTACTCAGAAGGTATACAACATCAAACATTACTCAGCAGCTATACAACATCAGACCTTACTCAGCAGCTATACAACATCAGACATTACTCCAATACAACATCAGACATTACTCAGCAGGTATACAACATCAGACATTACTCAGCAGGTATACAACATCAGACATTACTCAGCAGGTATACAACATCAGACATTACTCAGCAGGTATACAACATCAGACATTACTCAGGAGGTATACAACATCAGACATTACTCAGCAGGTATACAACATCAGACATTACTCAGGAGGTATACAACATCAGACATTACTCCAATAAATTATCAGAACTTACTCCAATACAACATCAGGCATTACTCAGTAGGTATACAACATCAGACATTACTACAATAAAACATCATACATCACTCGGGAGGTATACAACATCGAACATTACTCAGGAGGTATACAACATCAGACATTACTCAGCAGGTATACAACATCAGACATTACTCTGGAGGTATACAACAACAGGCATTTCTCATGAGGTATACAACATCAGACATTACTCCAGTAAAACATCATACATCACTCGTGAGGTATACAACATCGGACATTACTTCAATGCAACAACAAGTATTACTCCGGAGGTATGCAACATCAGACATTACTCCAATACAACATCAGACATTACTCCAATACAACATCAGACATTACTCAGCAGGTATACATCAAACATTACTCAGCAGCTATACAACATCAGACCTTACTCCAATACATTATCAGACATTACTCCAATACAACATCAGACATTACTCCAATACAACATCAGACATTACTCAGCAGGTATACAACATCAGACATTACTCAGGAGGTATAAAACATCAGTCATTACTCATGAGTTATACAACATCACTCATTACTTAGCAGGTATACAACATCAGACATTACTCAGCAGTTATACAACATCAGACATTACTCAGCAGCTATACAACATCAGACCTTACTCCAATACATTATCAGACATTACTCAATAGATATACAACATCAGATATTACTCAGCAGCTATACAACATCAGACCTTACTCCAATACATTATCAGACATTACTCCAATACAACATCATACATCACTCGTGAGGTATACAACATCGGACGTTACTTCAATGCAACAACAAGTATTACTCCGGAGGTATGCAACATCAGACATTACTCCAATACAACATCAGACATTGTTTCAACATCAGAAATTGGTCTAATACAACATCTGACATTACTCACAGGTATAAAACATCAGATATTACTCAGCAGATATACAACATCAGACCTTACTTCAATACAACATCAGACATTACTCCAATACAACATCAGACATTACTCAGGAGGTATACAACATCAGACATTACTCAGGAGGTATACAACATCAGATATTACTCAGTAGGTATACAACATCAGACATTACTCCAATACAACATCAGCCATTACTCAGGAGGTATACAACATCAAACATTACTCAGCAGGTATACAACATCAGACCTTACTCCAATACATTATCAGACATTACTCCAATACAACATCAGACATTACTCCAATACAACATCAGACATTACTCCGCAGGTATACAACATCAGTCATTACTTAGCAGGTATACAACATCAGACTTTACTCCAATATAACATCAGACATTACTCGAATACAACATCAGACATTACCCATGAGGTATACAACATCAGACATTACTCAGGAGATATACAACATAAGATATTACTCCAATACAACATCAGACATTACTCCAATACAACATCAGACATTACTCTGGAGGTATACAACATCAGATATTATTCCAATACAACAATAGACATCACTCAGGAGTTTGTTGGATGTTATAAGTAGGGTTGTTTTCAAGAAAGTACGACTGATTGAGTAAAAATTGTGGCGTGGTTCTCAAGGAAAGAATGACGACATTAATTCTATATTGTTTGACTGGTCGATATTTTCGCTGCGTTTTCATTTTGTGATTTTTTTAGTCTAATGCAATAGTGTATTGGTAAAGGTGAGGTTGCATTCGTGATTTTCTTCCATGTGTTGTTACCCGACGTGTTCCCTGTACTGGTAGTAAGATACAACAGCCTGCGGTCTCCTACAGACAACACAAACTGTGTAACACGAAAGCGGCGAGTGTATGTGTTTAGTAGTTTCTGGTATGTTGGTAAAAGGGGGTGATTAAATGGATGGAGATGACCATCCAGTTCTATCATCATTACAGAAAAGTTCATCCTTTAATTGCCCAACCTTGCTACGAAAGGGTGACAAACATTTAATGACTCCGTATATGTGCTTGATTCACGATTTTCCTTGTCCAACTCTTTACATACTAGTCACTGTACATCCCACACTCCTCATCAGCTTCAATACTTTGTTTCGTGTAGTACTGGAGACGGGAGAAACCCAATTCAGTTTGCACAGTGCTAAAATTTCATGTACCGAACCATATAAGGAAAGAACGTAATATAAAAATACATCTTAGCACCAGTTATTTCCGATCTATTAATATATAAATTATTAAATACAAATTTTAAGTCTCTTACGACAGACGGCGGCGTAAGACCATCACAGTTATCTCCCTTCTAAATACAAAGGACGATGTTAATGGGTCATTATCAGTGCTAAAAAGTAAAGATAAATGTACAGCTCTAAAAGTGGTTAGTGATTGCATGTCAAAACAATTCTTATTTTACAATTGGTCTTAGGTTTGTTTTCAAGCCTTTTATCTGTGGTATCATTTAAAAGTTTATAATTAATGGTGCCGGAATAAGGTAGGTTTGGTTTGAAACTGTCACGACATAATAATTCATTTATATAGTTCACAATTCTTTGTCTCATTCCTTACTTTTACTCTGCTTATGTTGTCTCTGGAAACATCTCAAAAGTAATAACACAAAGACTACACCACAACTAGAAATTTAATCAGAAAAAACATTTGCATTATGTACTTACATAGTTCAGAATTCACGAAAACTTTATTTACAAAAATTTCCAAAATTATCAGCATTATACAATTTTTAAAAAATGTAAATATATCATCTAATACAAGTTTTCTATTATTCACCTCAGCCCAAACTGATCGTTTCAAGCGTCGTTGTTTATTCTCAGATTTTCAATTAAACAAATAGGAAATAGTTGTTCAAAATATTAAATGAATTAAGTGCTCAGATTTATCCCCAAACTATCAAATAATATCAACTGATTAACACAAATAACCATAATTATTCAAGAAAAGTTGAGTACATGTTTCTTATTCTCTAGAAAATTACTAAAAAAAACAAGAAAACAAAACAAACAAACAAAAATGTGAATGGGACCTGTATTGCTCACACAGATTTTCCCCTTGCAATTATATTGTAAGAGGAATTTCAAGGCTTCAAATTCAATGAAACAAAATACCTCCATTCAGGTAGAAAAAAATATGGATTTCATAGATTACATCTGTCTACCGTATTCGGTCATGTCACTAGTCCATATCATTCCTTAAACGCAAAAGAAATCTTTTTTGCCCCACCCCTCAGGCACAAGTGGGTAAAGATCGATAGTTTACATAAAATTAGTTGCCGCTTTACCCCAGCCTGTTTCCAAACAAATTTGGTGAATTTACCGGTACTTTATCCCAACAGAAGAAGTACTTCATACTGATTCTTCTCTCAATGATGATTCAGACTATAATTAGACAAAATCTTGAAATTCCTGCAAAAGAAGAATTTCTAATCTATTCTCCGATTTCCAATATTGGATTCCGTCTTCTTCCTCCAGGAGGGGTCAGACCCACCATTTACATAAAAATAAGGATACTTCAGAAAAAATTTGGACAAAATCCAATCATTCAAACAATAGAGGAATTTTAAAGATTGCTGGTGACGTCTGGCCCATCGTTTATACAAAATTCAGTCGCTTTCCGAAAGGATGCTTCTGATTAAATTTTGTCAAAATCATGACAAGTAGAGATTTGTCTCTTCCGGACAGGTTAGCAAATAACTAAACAAATTACTAATATGCAACTTCAGGGTCCCTTTACTACTGTCAGATAATCAACACAATTCCTTATTGTCGGGTGATGTATATACAAATGTACTTCAATAAAATAAGTTAATAACTACAAAAAGCTTCTTTATACGGACAGAATCCTGACACTCAGTACTTTATACGGACAGAATCCTGATACACACTGTTTTATACGGACAGAATCCTGACACTCACTGCTTTATACGGACAGAACCCTGACACGCACTGCTTTATACTGACAGTATCCTGACACTCACTGCTTTATACGGACAGCACCCTGACACTCATTTCTTTATAAGGGTAGAATCCTGACACTCTCTGCTTCTTCAACGCGTATTCCAACAGAACCATCCAGAAAGAAATGGATATATGGATCCTCGATACAAATGAATCTCCCAGGAACGACGCTGGTCCAATGGAAATAAGGAAAGGGGTTGTCAAAATCCAAATAGAAAGCCACGTATATTTCGACGCCATCTTTGTCCTGTTTGAAAAAAATATATAAAAGATAAATAAGAATTCGGTTAAGGATATATGAAATATTTCCAAACTCCAAAACGTATTTAAGATGTCGTTATAAAATGGCGCTAGAACTATTTCTCTTCCTATTTGGAACTCGGGTCGTCTGAAACCATATCTCATAAAATTCCAAGTTATTTACACAGTGTCCAAATATATACTTTAAACTCAAGAGACAAATTATTATTATTTTATCTCTAAAATCATCAGTACTTCAATTATTTTTAATCTATAACATTTGTTAGTAGTCCAACAGTTCTAGCCATATACACATAGCACTGCGTATAAAACAACCCACAGAAGAACTAAATCACGACACAGTCCGATGATACATGGTACGTAAGTCTCCCTAATTTACATTTCCGGTATATCTACCAGGACTCTCAATAAAATTGCTGTTTACATAGAATGATGATTACTATTAGTAATTTTCATTATTCTAAGTAACACAAATAAAAACAAAACTCTGACAGCCATAAATTATAAAGTTTTTTTCGTTGGTTACATGGTTGTATAGTGCATTTCCACAGACATTTCAACAAAACGCTAACGCGTTATGTATATTACCTGTAAAAAATACAGTTAACGCACCAGTAAACAACAGGAAAGAAGAATTATTCCGTAAGTAATAAAACAGAAAGAGAAGATATAGATGTCATGCCAAATTGTACCATCAGATACCAACTCTTTGATATTCCTGTGGGAAATGTAACGCCCACCTTACCGAAAGTATGGAAAACGGAAAGAATTAATATAGTAGAAAACGGGCTAAATTGTAACGGTCTTATTGTACATAATGACCCTTAATTATCCATAAGAACAGATATATATTGAGACAGGTAAAATCACACCTGTCATTGACACACACACACAAATGTAATAGCACCTTTGGTTTAGACCAATTGTCAATTTTGACCCAAATTTCGACTTTGACCCTGTTAATATCATAAAGAAAATGTTGAGAGTTTGAAAATTATACGGGCCAGTTATTAATGAATTTTGTAAACTGGACATCAGCAGAAGTTTTGAATCAGTATATGTCACCATTAACCTAGTGACAGCGCCATGGTTAAACCCTTTGTTTGTGTTCGGGACTTGTTTATGCATTCCACTTGTTATTACAAGTATTAGTGGAAGTTATTGCAATAGCTGTACAAGAGCACCCCTTACTGTAAGAACAAAGATTACACCTCCTTAGTCGATGATCCCTCGGGCTAAACATCACGAAGCTACCTGGGTTTTCAAAGGATAGCGGACATACAGACGGACGGACATAACACAGGCTGAGGTACCTATAAGTTCTAAACGGTAGGTACAATTCTGTGTGAAAGGTATATTACCTCAACATAGATACAGTGGCGCATCCGGTAATGATGGAATCTGGAAATAAATGCAACAAAGACCCTGTTTGTTCCACTAGGTCGCATTCCAAGAAATTCCTGTGGTATGTCGTTAATGTCATCCAAAATTCTGCAGAAAGGAAAATGAAATCTCGCAATGACCTTCGCTTTATCCAAGAAGCCAGGTACCGGTGTCGCTCTGTAGTTCAACTGGTCAGGTTCGTCGACCCCGACAAAAAAAGGATTGGCAAAGCCCATCATTGGACTAAATCCAGTTGCACCAGGTGACATCATTCTGAATATATTATCAATGTTTGGCGGAAGTGTTGGCGGAAACGGTGCAACTACCTTACAGGCCTGTTTGTGTTTAGGCCAATCCTGACGTTGACAGCTCCTGGAACAGTAATTGGTCTGTTTACATCGAGAGCAGGTTTTGACGTCGTTTCCGGTTTTGCTGCAAACCACACATACTTTGTTGGGAGCAACGGATGTAGTGCTTTCATTCGCTCCGTCTTCAGATGATTTCTCGTGTTGTTTTGCATCCCTCTTACAGGATTTCTTATGTAGAGTTTTCCAATCTCTCTTTTGACATTCCTTGGAGCAATAGTAAACCTTCATACAACCAGTACACCTGCGCAGGGAGGCATTCTGCGCGCCACAATGTGCACACTGTTCAACCATTCTCCTAGAACACAAATAACGTTTCTGTGAAAACTGCGCTCATCTACCAATGCTATGAGAAGTATATGAAATGCAAGATAATTTTAGATAGACACAAACGTTTGCATATTGTCAAATACATCATCTGATCTGCATATACTTCATTTTTTGTAATTCTACTGCCAATGCCACAATATGTATAAGTTCAGAATAAACTGCGCACATCTAAGCATTAAACTTCGTTCAGCTGGCATTCATGGGCATATGATGACAACAGGATAATTTCCCCACTCCTGTTGCCATTCATATGTCCAAGCCTGAATGCTAACTAAAAGCAATCCAATGCTTGTGTCTATTATTTTCATTCTCTATCTTGTTGTAATGATGGAGATGTTAACGACCACGATTTGCTTACCGTGCTATGCAGTTATCAGTTCGTGAACTGGCAATACACGACTGACTTTGGTAAGGTTACAACACATCAATGCCAGGCAATGGTAGATATAGGAAATTCAATACCATAAATATCATAGAAAAATTGTATTTTTGTATCTGAAGTTAATATCAAAATACATATTTTACAAAATTAGTACAAAAGAAACACAAGGGAATTTAACCTTTTAATGCAAAAATTAGAATTCGATACAATAGAGTCATATCATGAATAAAACTTATCCATACAGCTGTATTTTCGCTCTAAGACTCGTCAGTGACGGGGTTTAAATGTTAAACCTATGAGGCGATTGAGGAAAATTCAAAGTGATCCGAAGGTCGGAAGATAGGGAGGTGCACTGGACCCGTAATTAGATAAATTTCATAATTTCCATATATCGGACGATTATTTCAGAAGAACAAACACATGTGTATTTCCTAACTCTGCCACAATTCGAATGAATTGAAATGTGGAATGAAAGTTACGGTAAACCTCAGAGACTAAAACTCCTTCAGCAGTGTCTGCTACCTGCAGTCTCGAAGACTACAAAGTAAGAATTAAGATAAAGTAGGGCCAAGTAATCAATTAAACTGTTCATACTAGAGATTCGTCCTTCTAGGACTCTTCAGTGATGCTAAGGACCTAAATTCTGAAATCTGAATGGCGACTGAGGATAATCAAAATTGATCGAAATGAATGTAAATATTGAGATGGGAATATGCACTAGTCTAGCCCCATTATACAGTTATTTTGTTATTTTAATATATCTGATAATTTGAGAAGAATGTGCATATTACAACCCGCGCCACTATTCAATGAATTAAAACGTGGTGTGTTTTAATTCGTTCCATCAGCTATGTAGTTGTAGGGCCACACACACTTGGTATTACTCCCAGACATACAAAGTATGTATGTAGAGGTAAGTGTGTTAATATATTCTCTATATATGTCGGATAACAATTAACAGAAGGCTACAATAACCTTTTTATATTTACTGATATTTATAGCGATTCCGCAGATTTGGATATAAATATAGTAACAGCTTGATGTAGATCCCGATATTCTCACACAGAATCCCTTTTTTGTAGACAATCAACACTACTGGAAAATTTCTTAGTCATTTAGTAAAATAGCAAGTAAAACTGAGATAAAATTTCCCTTGTTTTACCCCGAAAATACAATTGAACATTCCCATGTCTTATACAAGATTTGGTGGAAGTGCATATAAATTTAAAACGACTTCCGGGTTTCATTACTTTTGTGAACATTCTCCATGATACGAATCTCCAACCCGAATCAAACGCCTTTCTGACAACTATGAATGATCAAAGCATTTTTCCATGTGAAAAATAAACAGAAGTTACGGCATCATAGAATGAATCTGTGATAGAATGATATTCCCCGAAAGAAGCCTGAACTTAAAAAATTGAGATCCTCAGCCGTCTTGTTTAATCTGTTATTAAGTATTGATGTTAAAACTTTACCAAGACATGAAAGCAGACCTAATGCCCTATAATTACCAAAATATCCTGGATCACCTTTACATTTATATATAGGTTTAACAAGGCCGATCCTTTAAATTTGAAATAATCAAACAGTGAATTTTTCAACTATTCATTCAGGATTCCATCAAAACCTGAAGTCGTGTAGCTACTAAAATGAAAGTAAACAAATTGTTTACTAATTTAGTAATCTCAAATTCCGTTATCTTCCATTTCCAGGAGCAACTTCAATGGCATAGATTTCATAAGAGTTACTTCCCTTGCCATGCTGTAAAACTTGAGTTGCCGTCTGTCCTGTATCATTGCCTTCAATTTCGTTAACAACGTTGTAGAGTGCACATGGACTTGTCACTAATTTCCAATCCGCTGTCCATATATACAACAGATAATGTAAGCTCAAGAAGACATTGTGTATCGTCCAAATATGTAAGTCGCCCGAAGCGAGACAACAGACTCGAAAACGTTACCGAAACTGATATTTTGTCTACCTGATATCTCCTTATATATAATACATATGTATGGACCAATGACTGGGAATGGCTACAAGGTATAAGCACTCATTGGCTCATCAAAACACATCATCATATATTGCTTCATGTACATGTACAATGGGGTCTCCGTCACGGGTACCGGACAGTGTTCAGTTTTAGGGTGTAACCCTGGCACGTGTACCGGCAGTGTTCAGTTTTAGGATGTAATCCCTGTCGCGGGTACCGGTCAGTGTTCTGTTTTAGGGTGTAATTCCTGTCACGGGTACCGGTCAGTGTTCAGTTTTAGGGTGTAATCCCTGTCACGTGTACCAATCAGTGTTCAGTTTTAGGTAGCTATCCCTGTCACGTGTACCAGTCAGTGTTCTGTTTTAGGGATGTAAAATCTGTCACGAGTGCCGGTCAGTGTTTAGTTTTAGGGTGTAATCCCAGTCACGGGTACCGGTCTGTGTTCAGTTTTAGGGTGTAATCCCTGTCACGTGTACCGGTCAGTGTTCAGTTTTAGAGATGTAATCCCTATCACGGGTACCGGTCAGTGTTCAGTTTTAGGTTGTAATCCCTGTCACGTGTACCGGTCAGTGTTCTGTTTAGGGATGTAATCTCTGTCATGAGTACCGGTCAGTGTTCAGTTTTAGGGTGTAATCCCTGTCAGGGGTACCGGTCAGTGTTCTGTTTAGAGATGTAATCTCTGTCACGGGTACCGATCAGTGTTCAGTTTTAGGGTGTAATCCCTGTCACGGGTGCCAATCAGTGTTCAGTTTTCGGGATGTAATTCCTGTCACGTGTACCGGTCACTTGTTCAGTTTTAGGGTGTAATCCCTGTCACGGGTACCGGTCAGTGTTCAGTTTTAGGGTGTAATCCCTGTCACGGGTGCCGGTCAGTGTTCAGTTTTAAGGATGAAATCTCTGTCACGTGTACCGGTCAGTGTTCAGTTTTAAGGATGTAATCTCTGTCACGAGTGCCGGTCAGTGTTCAGTTTTAGGATGTAATCTCTGTCATGAGTACCGGTCACTTGTTCAGTTTTAGGGTGTAATCCCTGTCACGTGTACCGGTCAGTGTTCAGTTTTAGAGATGTAATCCCTATCACGGGTACCGGTCACTTGTTCAGTTTTAGGGTGTAATCCCTGTCACGTGTACCGGTCAGTGTTCTGTTTAGGGATGTAATCTCTGTCATGAGTACCGGTCAGTGTTCAGTTTTAGGGTGTAATCCCTGTCAGGGGTACCGGTCAGTGTTCTGTTTAGAGATGTAATCTCTGTCACGGGTACCGATCAGTGTTCAGTTTTAGGGTGTAATCCCTGTCACGGGTGCCGGTCAGTGTTCAGTTTTAAGGATGAAATCTCTGTCACGTGTACCGGTCATTGTTCAGTTTTAAGGATGTAATCTCTGTCACGAATGCCGGTCAGTGTTCAGTTTTAGGATGTAATCTCTGTCATGAGTACCGGTCACTTGTTCAGTTTTAGGGTGTAATCCCTGTCATGGGTACCGGTCAGTGCTCTGTTTTAGGGTGTAATCTCTGTCACGGGTGCTGGTCAGTGTTCAGTTTTAAGGATGTAATCTCTGTCACGAGTACCGGTCAGTGTTCAGTTTTAAGGATGTAATCTCTGTCACGTGTACCGGTCAGTGTTCAGTTTTAAGGATGTAATCCCTGTAACGGGTGCCTGTCATTGTTCAGTTTTAAGGATGTAATCTCTGTCACGAGTGCCGGTCAGTGTTCAGTTTTAGGATGTAATCCCTGTCAGGTGTACCGGTCAGTGTTCAGTTTTAGGGATGTAATCCCTGTCACGGGTATGGGTCAGTGTTCAGTTTTAAGGGTGTACTCCCTGTCATGGGTACCGGTCAGTGTTCTGTTTTAGGGATGTAATCCCTGTCACGTGTACCGGTCAGTGTTCAGCTTTAGGGATGTAACCCCCGTCACGGGTACCGGTCAGTGTTCTGTTTTAGGGATGTAATCCCTGTCACGGCTACCGGTCAGTGTTCTGTTTTAGGGATGTAAACCCCGTCAAGGGTACCGGTCAATGTTCTGTTTTAGGGTGTAATCCCTGTCACGTGTACCGGTCAGTGTTCAGCTTTAGGGTGTAATCCATATCACGGGTACCAATCAGTGTTCAGTTTTCGGGATGTAATTCCTGTCACGTGTACTGGTCAGTGTTCAGTTTTAGGTGGTTATCCTCGCCATATGAACCAACCAGTGATAGATTTTAGGGACATAATCTTCCATCTTATTGGAAACCTTTAAGCGTTGCCATGATAGTTATACAATAGTTAATTTTAACACAGTTCGTTAATGAACGTAATCCCCACCAAACGACATATAAATGACAGACTTTATACAAGGTGATAACGACTGTCTCGTCTACCAAGGGGATAGTATACGGTATATATATACTGGAGATAAGATTATGAATTTTGATTAAACACGAGACCAGCCAAAGGCTCGGAAATCAACACTCTGTACACAACTCTTACTATCGTCCCACTAAATATCTACACTCTGTATACAACTCTTACTATCGTCCCACTAAATATATACACTCTGTATACAACTCTTACTATCGTCCCACTAAATATATACACTCTGTATACAACTCTTACTATCGTCCCACTAAATATATACACTCTGTATACAACTCTTACTATCGTCCCACTAAATATATACACTCTGTATACAACTCTTACTATCGTCCCACTAAATATATACACTCTGTATACAACTCTTACTATCGTCCCACTAAATATCTACACTCTGTATACAACACTTACAATCGTCCCACTAAATATCTACACTCTGTACACAACTCTTACTATCGTCCCACTAAATATCTACACTCTGTACACAACTCTTACTATCGTCCCACTAAATATCTACACTCTGTACACAACTCTTACTATCGTCCCACTAAATATATACACTCTGTATACAACTCTTACTCTTACTATCGTCCCACTAAATATCTACACTCTGTACACAACTCTTACTATCGTCCCACTAAATATCTACACTCTGTACACAACTCTTACTATCGTCCCACTAAATATCTACACTCTGTACACAACTCTTACTATCGTCCCACTAAATATCTACACTCTGTACACAACTCTTACTATCGTCCCACTAAATATCTACACTCTGTACACAACTATATACATATACACTCTGTATACAACTCTTACTAAATATCTACACTCTGTATACAACTTTACTATCGTCCCACTAAATATCTACACTCTGTACACAACTCTGTACACAACTCTTATCGTCCCACTAAATATCTACACTCTGTACACAACTCTTACTATCGTCCCACTAAATATCTACACTCTGTACACAACTCTTACTATCGTCCCACTAAATATCTACACTCTGTACACAACTCTTACTATCGTCCCACTAAATATCTACACTCTGTACACAACTCTTACTATCGTCCCACTAAATATCTACACTCTGTACACAACTCTTACTATCGTCCCACTAAATATCTACACTCTGTACAAATACACTCTGTATACAACACTTACTCGTCCCACTACTATCGTCCCAAAATATCTACACTCTGTACACAACTCTTACTATCGTCCCACTAAATATCTACACTCTGTACACAACTCTTACTATCGTCCCACTAAATATCTACACTCTGTACACAACTCTTACTATCGTCCCACTAAATATCTACACTCTGTACACAACTCTTACTATCGTCCCACTAAATATCTACACTCTGTACACAACTCTTACTATCGTCCCACTAAATATCTACACTCTGTATACAACTCTTACTATCGTCCCACTAAATATCTACACTCTGTATACAACTCTTACTATCGTCCCACTAAATATCTACACTCTGTATACAACTCTTACTATCGTCCCACTAAATATCTACACTCTGTATACAACTCTTACTATCGTCCCACTAAATATCTACACTCTGTATACAACACTTACAATCGTCCCACTAAATATCTACACTCTGTATACAACTCTTACTATCGTCCCACTAAATATCTACACTCTGTACACAACTCTTACTATCGTCCCACTAAATATCTACACTCTGTATACAACACTTACAATCGTCCCACTAAATATCTACACTCTGTATACAACACTTACAATCGTCCCACTAAATATCTACACTCTGTATACAACTCTTACTATCGTCCCACTAAATATCTACACTCTGTATACAACTCTTACTATCGTCCCACTAAATATCTACACTCTGTATACAACTCTTACTATCGTCCCACTAAATATCTACACTCTGTATACAACTCGTACTATCGTCCTACTAAATATCTACACTCTGTATACAACTCTTACTATCGTCCCACTAAATATCTACACTCTGTATACAACTCTTACTATCGTCCCACTAAATATCTACACTCTGTATACAACTCTTACTATCGTCCCACTAAATATCTACACTCTGTACTAAATATCTACACTCTGTACTCTTACTATCGTCCCACTAAATATCTACACTCTGTACACAACTCTTACTATCGTCCCACTAAATATCTACACTCTGTATACAACTCTTACTATCGTCCCACTAAATATCTACACTCTGTACACAACTCTTACTATCGTCCCACTAAATATCTACACTCTGTACACAACTCTTACTATCGTCCCACTAAATATCTACACTCTGTATACAACTCGTACTATCGTCCTACTAAATATCTACACTCTGTATACAACTCGTACTATCGTCCTACTAAATATCTACACTCTGTATACAACTCTTACTATCGTCCCACTAAATATCTACACTCTGTACACAACACTTACTATCGTCCCACTAAATATCTTGACTATTGCAATACTATCACAATAGTTTTCTTTTCTTCATTGTTTTCTGAAATGTTTTCTAACTCAGCACTAAAGCATTTGAATGTATCTGAATGCACAATTCAGTAAATGCTAAAATGATATTTATAATTTTCATACAACCATGTTGGTGGAAGATAGCCTTACCTGTGTTGTATGATAGCTCTCTAGATCGAGACCGGACAACGTCTTTTGACCCAAAGCAATAGAGAAACTAAAAGTTCGAATTATAAGTATAAATACTTTCTGATTTCAAAAAGCAGTATCGATGAGCTGTACATGAGATGGAACCATTTTCAGATTTGGTTTTCAGAAACGAAACCGAAAACGAAAACGAAAATAAACTGCTTCTGCTCAGCAACAATAGTTATATCAGCCCAAACAGCAGAGCAATGGGACAACTCGTCACATCATGAGAAAATATACAACATAAATGTTACCAGCTAAAGAAATCAAAATGGTCACATTTTCTCGAAAACATTGTACGAGTTATCTCCCCTCGTGCATGTCACTGCCAGATAATGTTGGCATACAACAGATGGAAGTGTAAAATTTCAAAAGCGACTTTTACTTTAGATTTCGTGCTGAAGAAATGAGGAAATCGTCCATTGGTCAATAAAATAAGCCTAATACAAAGATATTTGTGTATATCGCCAACCGACGAGTTTTCTAAATAGTTATTTTCGGGGTTGAAACATGGTGACCTCGACTGAAACTTCTTTTAATAGTTCATGATAGTGATTTTAACATTATAGTCAGCAGTGACTAACTACAAGTCTTAGTAGTATGTCCACAAACAGATGATACATAATTAATTTTTCATGCATGCATTCATTTACTTTTGAAAACTAAAATTCACAAAATTTATCAACATTACAAATCGCAAATCACAAGACGTCCCAGGGATCTTGGCGTCCAGCATTGTATGATCTGGGTTTTTAAAGTTGGATCTTTTCCCTTATTTCCTCTGTTTACATACTCTTAATTATATACAAATATTTATTAACATATAAATTAAGCATATGGCAAACCAATAGAAATGAGTACAACTTCAAGAAAAAAAACACACACAAAAATCCAAGATGGCTACCTATGGGCCATTTTGTTTTTGCAAACAGTCCCAAATTGGACAATGCAAAATAAAGGAATTTTAGACTGATCTACCCAGTACCTCTTTTTTTTCTTTTTTTTAAGAGTTCGAGTCCATTTTATTCATTTTTTATAACACAAAACATTTATTCATGATCATATTGACAGACTGCCAAGGGCCTTTGGGTCAGCCTTCTTAAACAAATTGTGTCCCCTCTCGGGGGGAGGGGGGGAGGGGCTCTCGCGCACCGCTTCACACATTCATCCTCCAAATATTTTACTATGTAGTTACAAAATAATTGTCAACTATAATCATTGTTGATAAATACAATAGATACAAATACTATATACAGACCTAGCCATCACTAGATACACAACTACCAACACTCAATGTATAGAATACATACACTCACTGATGCTATTTTCTCTTAACACAGGTATGGATTGACACACATATACACTGGCCTACACTTGTTCACACAAGCACAGATCCACACACCAACATATGCACTAATCACACGTTATATATTAATATGGTGCATATACTCCTTTAAGGGAAAAAACATACAATCTGGGCCTGTATAATCAAACTATAGTTTAACCATATGTAGAGCTGGTACCTGCATCTTACACACACTAACAGGTCATGCACACATGCAGATTCTCAAACTCATACACACACACATACATCACATTGAATGTTATATGTCCTCTTACATTTCTTACTCACTAAGGAAAGAGTCCAGCCACGACAAAATCTTTAGAGTTGGTAAATTACATGGTAAATATAAAAAGACTGTACTTAACAATATTCTATTATCTGTCCCCTACTGGTTCGTGTCTCAGAGCATTGACAAAAGTGAGCTTGTTCGTTCCAAAGTTTTTTTTCTGAATCTGGTTTTACATGCAGTAAAAGTAGGAACAATATCATTGATTCTACAGTAATGGATGAAGTATTTAAGTATTAAAAGAAAAAGATTCAAGATATCGCTAAAATTAGCATTTCCAAAAATTACGTCTGTACATTGTAGAACACCTACCTTAACGGGTTCATGTTTTATACTGTTTACAAAAAGCTTGTATATGAATTTTTGGTCTTTCAGATCTAACATTTTCTGAGCAATATCTTTTTTGATTGGAGTAATTGTTTCACCATTCACACAAGCAATTCTATATTCATTTTTCCAATTTCTATTAATTTTCTGAAAAGTTACATGGTATTCAATAAAATTTAAATGCACCACATGCCTGAGCTCTTCCCAGGTTTGGTTAATCCATTTATAAATAAATCGTTAACCCTGTGCAGACCAAAATTTCTCCATGGGATACAGTGGTTTACAAGATAGGTTAAATCTAATGCTAAACATTCTTCAAGAGAATTTGGTGGACATTTTAATTCTGCTAAAGATAATAACACATAACACCAAAATTTGTTTTTTGTATTTTTTGCTTTCTCCCTCAACTTTCCTGCATCCAAACGAAAGAGCACCTCAGGATCTATTTTCAATATGAGATTTAAAAAAGATTTCCAGCCACTATCTACATCTGAATAGTATCTCTTAGTTCATCTAACTTTCATATATTTACTAAAAGCTAAAATGTATGTCATGTTTAGGCCATCTTCATCATATAATGCTACCAAAGTTTCCCTTTTAATTTTCTCTGTATTTGAATTCCAGATAAATCTATAGGAGATTCTATTCGAATAATAGTTAAATTTCGAACTACCCAAAGCCTTAACATTTTTTCAACCTGATTCAAAGTATGTTCATAATTAATTTCTTCCATCCCATCCAGATTCAAGGAGAATGTGATACTTAGAAGTCTAAAATTTTCAGTTGACCATGTTAGGTTTAGGTCTGGACAAATGATTTCGTCTGAGAATTTCTTATTGCCTATTCAATAAAGTCGGGACTTTGCTAAGTTTACTTTTAAACCAGATATCATAGAAAAATCTTCAAGTATGTGTACAGCTTCGTATAGTGATTCACTTTTACCATCTAACAGGAGATATGTATCATCTGCGTATTGTCCTAGTAATACCTTTTTGTCAACAATTGTAAGAGCCCCAATCCTTTGGTTAGACTTTATCATTAAAGAAAGTAGCTCAACCACAATAACAAAGATGTACGGAGATATCCGGTCGCCTTGACGACAGCCTCTTCCCAATTTGAAGAAATGAGAAAGATTACCATTCTTGATAAGACAGCTTTTAGAGTTAAAGTAAAAAAAAAGAGTTAACCATTTACAAACAGATGAACCAAAATTGAAACTTTCTAAAGCTTTGTCTAAAAAATCCCATTCAACCGAGTCAAAGTCCTTTTCAAAATCAAGATACAATAAACCATGTTTGTTGTTTTCCTCTAAGAAATACATAACATCATATAATTGCCTAGTACTATCCCCTATAAATCTTTCCTTAATAAACCCTGTCTGTGTTTCACTTATAATCGATGGTAACACACCCTTTAATCTGTTTGCTATAGCAGCTGAAGCAATCTTCTAATCTACATTTAACAATGATACTGGACGCCAGTTTTTTATATATCGTCTATCTGTATTTTCTTTAGGTATGCGTGTTATTATTCCCTGTGATTGAAAGTCCGACAATTTTCCTACCGAGTATGCATAATTAATGGACCTACAAACTGGTTTACCTAAATCTTTCCAAAACAATTTATGAAATTCTACATTAAATCCATCCGACCCAGGTGTTTTCCCATTTTTCATATTCTTGAGAGCTATGGACAGTTCTCTAAGTGTTAGTAGCCCTTCACGTCCCTTCTTCTGCTCTCCATTTCACTTTACATGTTGAAAAAAGTGGAAAAATCAAGTCTATGTGAATCTTAAGCATGAGAAGAACATAGTCTTTTATAAAAGGATGCTTCTTCATTTAACATGTCCTCAGGCTTATCTATAGTATTATCACTATCAGATATCAATGCAGTAATTCTTTTATTTATATAATTCCCTTTTTCTAGACGGCAAAAAAATTTTGAGTTCTTTTCCCCATATTCGTACCAATTTACCTTTGATCTAAAATTAAGACTGTTTTTCGCCTACTGATTATTCTTCCCTTCCAGAGCTTCATATACTTCACTGCTTGGCTCAATGTTAATTCTTTCTTCTAATGTTTCAATTTCTGATTCAAAATTCTTTTCTTCAATTTTTCTTGCTTTTTATTAGTCTATAGAATAGGCAAAGTCATAGTTCGTAGTTTCATTTTCAAAATTTCAAATAACATTTGATCATTTGTTCTGAAAGTCACCTCCTCCAAATTCTCACCTTGTCTCATTAATGCATATTTTCACTTTTCAATATATTCCTCATCTTCCAATAACTTTGAATTATGTTTCCAATATCCCTTACCTCTAGGAGGGTTGTTAAGGTTTAACCGAATAGTAACACAAAAGTGATCTGATTGATATCCTGGAATTATGTAAGTATCTTTCGTCCTAGCATATATCTCTTCTGACACTAGAAAGTAATCTAACCGGCTCTTTCTAACAGGTATTTTTTGCCTCCATGTAAAGGCCTTTGACTCGGGGTTAAAACTTCTCCATGAATCATCAAGATTACAAGCATCAATAATATTATGAATAGCTTGCCTACATTTTGGGTTATTATTTCCCATAATGTTACATGTATCCAAATTCCTATCCTGTACAGTATTCCAATCACCACATAATATTGACGGATAATTATCATTGTTAAAAGCCTGGATGGTGTCTAATAGATTACTGTAAAAATTAGGTGTATCATGATTGGGACCCTAAATATTCACAAGTATGACCCTTACATTATTGATAGAGATATCACAAATAATAATGCTGCCTTCACTATCTACTCTATTTCTATGTAAAACATATTCAAAACTGTTCCTCATTAAAATGGCAACACCAGCAGATCTAGAATTAAAACTATTAAAAACACATTTGTAACCCCACTCCCGTTCCCATAGTTTTTTTTCTACTTTATCTGTACTATGTGTCTATTGTAGACAAATGATATCGGCACGTTTGTTTTTGAACCAATGGAAGACATCTCTTCTCTTGTACTGATCTGAGTACAGCCCTCTAACATTCATGGTTGTTATTCTTATATTACCCGACATCGATATCCCACTGACAGTTACAGTAACGACGTGACCCGCCCAGTACCTCTAGTGAAAACAAACTATAACTGTCAAAAAGATGTCTGCCAATCGGCCATTTTGTTTCTCCGGTCAATCTAAAATTGAACAATATATAGCTACTATATACATTGTATCCACTTTTCGCGGCAATATTTTCGCTAATTGGCAGGACGTAAACATAATTGCTGTGCTCCATGAATAATAAGACTAGTGTAGCTTAAGACAGGTGACACCTCGGCCCTGATAATTACCGCCGCGGACGTGTCTATTTCAACAATTACAATTTTGTGCAACGGGTTATATGTGGTCTAAATAGCAAGGTATTACATTATTATATTCCCACCAGTAGAAGTACTGTATCCATTATATCTGACCGTAAATTCTGTTCCCTAGTAGAGTTCGGTATTTCATTTATTTGACCTTAATGTCTGCCCCCTCACCTCCCCTGAAGAGCCTGCTGTTGCTTATATATGACATATGTCCCAGTATATCTTAATATTCCTCATATTGGACCATCATTTCTTTCTTCCTGTTCAGCCTACTTTTCATTACACAGTATTTGGCCCGAGCACTTCTGTCCCAATATAGCCCACTATTGCCTTTATTTGACCAGCATGTCCGTATCCTAGTAAAGCCTGTTATTTCCGTCTTTGACTATCAATTCTGTCCCCTAGTAGGGCCCTTTCTTTATTTGGCCAGCATTTTTGCCCACAGTAAATATCGTTATTCCCTGTATTTGACCATTCTGTCCCCTAGTAGAGCCTGCTATTTTCTTTATGTGACCAGTATTTCTGTCCCCCAGTAAATATCGTTATTCCCTGTATTTGACCATTCTGTCCCCTAGTAGAGCGTGCTATTTTCTTTATGTGACCAGTATTTCTGTCCCCCAGTAAATTCTTTATTTGACCAGCATTTCTGTCCCCCAATAAAGCCCCTTATTTTCTTTATTTGACCAGTATTTCTGTCCCCCAGTAAATATCGTTATTCCCTGTATTAGACCATTCTCCCCTAGTAGAGCCTGCTATTTTCTTTATTTGACCAGTATTTCTGTCCCCCACTAAAGCCCCTTATTTTCTTTATGTGACCAGTATTTCTGTCCCCCAGTAAAGCCCCTTATTTTCTTTATTTGACCAGTATTTCTGTCCACCAGTAAAGCCCCTTATTTTCTTTATTTGACCAGTATTTCTGTCCACCAGTAAAGCCCCTTATTTTCTTTATTTGACCAGTATTTCTGTCCCCCAGTAAAGCCCCTTATTTTCTTTATGTGACCAGTATTTCTGTCCACCAGTAAAGCCCCTTATTTTCTTTATGTGACCAGTATTTCTGTCCCCCAGTAAATTCTTTATTTGACCAGCATTTCTGTCCCCCAATAAAGCCCCTTATTTTCTTTATTTGACCAGTATTTCTGTCCCCCAGTAAAGCCCCTTATTTTCTTTATGTGACCAGTATTTCTGTCCCCCAGTAAATATCGTTATTCCCTGTATTTGACCATTCTCCCCTAGTAGAGCCTGCTATTTTCTTTATTTGACCAGTATTTCTGTCCCCCAGTAAAGCCCCTTATTTTCTTTATTTGACCAGTATTTCTGTCCCCCACTAAAGCCCCTTATTTTCTTTATTTGACCAGTATTTCTGTCCCCCACTAAAGCCCATTATTTTCTTTATGTGACCAGTATTTCTGTCCCCCAGTAAAGCCCATTATTTTCTTTATTTGACCAGTATTTCTGTCCCCCACTAAAGCCCATTATTTTCTTTATGTGACCAGCATTTCTGTCCCCCAGTAAAGCCCCTTATTTTCTTTATGTGACCAGTATTTCTGTCCCCCAGTAAAGCCCCTTATTTTCTTTATGTGACCAGTATTTCTGTCCCCCAGTAAAGCCCCTTATTTTCTTTATGTGACCAGTATTTCTGTCCCCCAGTAA